TCGGGGCCGTGCTCGGGGACCCGGCTCCCCCCGCCTCCCACTTAGGCAGCAGCCCCGCGGGAATGACTGAAAAAGCCCGTTTGGGCCCCAGATTTCTCCGCTACGCTCCCCGGATGGCAGACCCCGCGCGGGGGGACTTTCCTGGACTCGGGGAGAAGTTGGGCTGGGCTGGTTGGGAACCGCCGCTGCCCTCTCCTGGCTCTGCGGGTAGAGGCAGCGGCAAGGCAGAGGCAGGTGCTGTCCACCGGACCCGTGTGAATCGGTGTATTCGCCTCACAGCCACGGGCTACTGCACCCAGGCCACGGGCACCCGGCCAGCGGGCTAGCAGGTCACTAGCCTTAGGCCTTTTCCACCGCTCTGTGCTTACAGCAATGGGGCTTTAGATCACCTTCCTGCCAGTCGCTTCCCCCTCAAAAAACCTGCCACATCGTTTATTGCGCCCGTTCGAAAGCGAAAAAAAATTCTTTTAATTCAAAATGGGTTTTGGTATAAAATATTCTTGTTTTATTTAAAACCTCAGAACCACTTTGAAACACTGAAGTTTATGCCGGAAATAATTCGGGGGGGTCAACAAGTTTGCTGAAAGTTTTAAAAACTTTTGGAATTTGGGGTTGACTCAAAATATGTTATTTATTAGTGCAAGACAGCAACCTAAGAACAGAAAAGTGATTTACCTATATCTATATATAATGTAGTGCTAAAAAGAGGGAGAGAAGGCGTAGATAAGATTATTAAACTATAAGCAATGCTTTTCAGTTCTACCAGGTGGTTGTCATAGGGAAAATTCCTGGTTAACCCACTACAAAGACAATTTCCCCTACCTTGGACATCCAAGTTTTCACATCAAAAGCTATGAATGGGACATTTCCGGCCCACTTCATTAACAGGGGTCCTACAAATGACCGGTACTTCTTTTGCTGTCATATATATCTTGGTGTCTGTTATTTCCACTCCAACTCATCTGACGAAGTGCAGCTTGTCCACAAAAGCTCATGATCCTGTATATTTTTGTTAGGCTCCAGGGCTATGTCTACACTCGCGGCTTCTTTCCCGAATAATATGCAAATGAGGCTAAGCATGGAATATCGCCGAGCCTCATTTGCATACCTAATGAGCCACCATGTTTTTCAGAAGAGGCTCTTGCGCAAGGAGCGTCTACACTCCCCCTTCTCGTGCAAGAAAAACC